AAACAAAGCGCCAAGTATTTGTTGAAAAATCGAAATTTTTTCCTTAAACATTTATATTACATATTGATAATATTAGAACAATTAATAACAAGGAAAAAATCCACTGAAGAGCGAAATAACAGCACAGAAATATTCCCGCCAATTTTGTCATAACTTCGACGCGTCCTCACATCCGGGAAATCGATTTGCGAAGATGAAAAGCAATTTAGGCTCATCTTAAAAGTGATTAGAAAAAAGGATTTTACTTTGATATTTCGACAACAAAAAGAGGTGATACTTTATTGGAAATGCTTCAATAATATGGACCAATATGGGAAAAAGCAGGGATCTATGCGAAGTTCTTTTGTCGACTAAAAGTGTGGACATTTCGAAACCAAGACCATGCTAGCAGTTAGATTGAGAGAGCTTAAAAACAAAGAATCTTCTACAGTCTTGAATGACTTAATAAATTGATGAAACCTATGCTTGAAACAAGTATGGCTCTGTTGAAGATGACCTTTGAACGATAATTTATCGAAAGTTCGATAATGAAGGTAAAAAATATATTTTTGTATACAGTTTTCTGTGATTATGTGAAGTTCGAGTAGTCCGGGTTCAAACATCGATTATTGAAACAATGTTGATTATTGTTAGCTTATGTGTAGACTACTTTTTGCCGAGAAGCTTTCAGTTACTTTTAATCAATAGACTATAATTTTAAACTTCATCCAACGGAAGAAAATCTACCGAAGTCAATATTAGTACGAACTAAATTCTCATGAACATACTCTTTATAATATTTGTTCGCATGTCAACAAAACTGTTGTAGCTCACATTCCTTAGAACAGAGCATCTAACTTTGAAATAGCAGTACTAGATAATCATTTTCAGCTTCTATATTGCTATTGGAGCTCCGCTATTAGGTGTTACCTAATTTTTATATTAGGGTATTATCTTAGTATTGATCGTTTTCACCCATTCAAAAGATTCAAAATATAAAAAAGACCGTCGGCCATGTTGGATGAATGAATAATAGATACCAACGAGAACTCTTTTGATGAAGTTCAACCAAGATGGCCGCTGTGAAGTAACTTAAAAACAAAGAATTCGAAGTGAAGTCAAATTTTTAATTTTGTTGTTGTTGGAAATTTCTTTGGAATATTAYGACAGAAATGAAGACAGCATTTGCACTGGTGATAATATCGACTTTTCTAAAGTGAGAAATTTAGGTTATTGCTTGACATTGTTTCATTGTATGTAGAAACAATCACGTCCATCGTTGGTTTAAGAGTTGTGAACAAGACAACTGATGGATACTGGTTCCTTCTTAAAATCAACACAACTTTCAAAGACAAGGACGATAAAGTAAAGGCTCACATAACTGGCTACTTTCGCGTACAACTACAAACTGCAGGGTAAGACTAATATAAAGTTATCGAGAAATAGTGCCGAGGAGTCGCACCTTGAGCTCTTTTTAATTGACGGACTTCCTGACATGCTCGTTTCTGATTGGTTGATTGAAAAGTATGCTATTACTTTCATGAATCTATCCCATCATGTTTTTTTGTCATATATTTCACAAACTTATATTCAACATGTTAAGATGCCTCACTTTTTGTTAATTTGTTTTGCTTTTTGTTTTTAGATCAAAAGCTTTCAACCAAACGAATGAGGAATCTTTTCATATTTATGGTCGTTCCAAAACTGACGCAGAATTYGTTCGCTACTTGCACGGGGTGTTGCACCAACTCTTACCCTCTGTAAGGCGTGAATTGTATGAAGATGTGGACGGACAGCGAACCAGTAAACTAGAACCAGAAGAATCGCCCTTTCTTCCTGGACCCATCCGGATGCACCGACAAGCCGACACTAAGCAAAGCGATTGTGTATTGATTAAGAATCACTTCAATCGAACGGATTTCGTCAACTATTCTTCGAAAGTCGACTTAGATGTCAAGTATGCAGCCTCAGTCTCTCTCAATAAGTCCAGCGGCATGGTCTCAGAAAGNTTTGGAATATTATGACAGAAATGAAGACAGCATTTGCACTGGTGATAATATCGACTTTTCTAAAGTGAGAAATTTAGGTTATTGCTTGACATTGTTTCATTGTAGAAACAATCACGTCCATCGTTGGTTTAAGAGTTGTGAACAAGACAACTGATGGATACTGGTTCCTTCTTAAAATCAACACAACTTTCAAAGACAAGGACGATAAAGTAAAGGCTCACATAACTGGCTACTTTCGCGTACAACTACAAACTGCAGGGTAAGACTAATATAAAGTTATCGAGAAATAGTGTCGAGGAGTCGCACCTTGAGCTTCTTTAATTGACGGACTTCCTGACATGCTCGTTTCTGATTGGTTGATTGAAAAGTATGCTATTACTTTCATGAATCTATCCCATCATGTTTTTTGTCATATATTTCATAAACTTATATTCAACATGTTAAGATGCCTCACTTTTTGTTAATTTGTTTTGCTTTTTGTTTTTAGATCAAAAGGTTCCAACCAAACGAATGAATCTTTTCATATTTATGGTCGTTCCAAAACTGACGCAGAATTCGTTCGCTACTTGCACGGGGTGTTGCACCAACTCTTACCCTCTGTAAGGCGTGAATTGTATGAAGATGTGGACGGACAGCGAACCAGTAAACTAGAACCAGAAGAATCGCCCATTCTTCCTGGACCCATCCGGATGCACCGACAAGCCGATACTAAGCAAAGCGATTGTGTATTGATTAAGAATCACTTCAATCGAACGGATTTCGTCAACTATTCTTCGAAAGTCGACTTAGATGTCAAGTATGCAGCCTCAGTCTCTCTCAATAAGTCCAGCGGCATGGTCTCAGAAAGYAATGTCTCCATGTATGAACGATTAAACTTTGGTGAGCCAATGAAAACAAAGAACGGCAATGATATCAGTATGATGAACGTCACTCTACACAGTCATGTGACTCGCATGAAAAACGACGAACCTTTTATCAAAGACGAAGAATTCAAGGCTATCGAGACGGACTTGTTCATCAAGCTAATATTACCAATTGATGCAAAGRAAATGAAATTTAAGAAGAGTGATCAAAAGGCGCCCGCATCTGCTTCTCAGAAAGGCAAACAGCGAAAGCGTAGAGGGACAAAAGAAGGTTATATATCTAGTAGCATCTCAATACCACACGAACAAAAGGAATATGACGTATTTGAGAAAAAAGTTATTGGAATAAACTTCARAGGCAAGGAACAATTCTGGGTATCACCTTACGAAAAGTGGTACTGGAGAGAGCAACAGCGTTTTCAGCTGCGAAACAGATTGTCTTTGGAAATCGGGGAATTTCCTATAACCGTGTATGAAAAACAATTTATCAGCGACGAGAACGAAAAAACAGAACCGGAACGGCGAAAAGATCTGTTACGTACACCGGTAGGTTTTTGTACTTGTGCTAGAGCTCCCCTTCTGGGCATAAAAAGTTAACTGTTTTTTTTTTTATTTTTTTCAACGTTGTTTATAACAAATGAAGCTCATTTAGCCCTCCCCCTCTTAAAACCATGTACTCAGCCCCCTTAAAATTTCAGCTAAATTAGCCCTTATAGCCCTATTTACATTTATTGTGGACACCATCAATCTAATAACATTCCAGGAACAAGAAAACCTGACATGTTAAAGATGGACAAGTTTGACTTGTTAACTGTCCTCCGTCATTTCCATCATCTTTAATGGCAGTTTTTATTACTCCACAGGAATTCTGTCTGACGGCCCTTTGGATTCGCTTCTGTGTGCAGTTCAGTTTGAACATACGTTATAGTATCAAAGCAAGACTAGTCAAAAGCGAGACGTCACTGTATTCTCCATCTAAGATTGCTGTCGAAGTAAGTTTTAGGCCGCCCCATCCGGCACACAACGACACAGAAATGTTTGTATCCACAATTTTTCGTGGACATAAACATTTCCCATGGTCATCTTACAGACTCGACCTTAGACTAATTAATAATTTTCTWAGTACCTCATCCAATAATTTCATAATGCAAATTCCTAAGTACTGGGGTTTTTCATTAGTGAWACCATTTCGTCGTTCACCAGAGATATTTTGTTATAGTTATTAAGTTATAGTCAGAGCTTTCGATGGGACTGAGTTCATGAAATCCTGGACATATTAGGACTATTAGATCAACAAAAGAAAGGCMTGTATCATGACACCTCATCCCTCGGGATTTGATTCTGTCAGAAAAGTACCTTGCTTAAATCACCGACCCTTCCTCGCTATTTATATATACGTAATTCTATGTTGTCCCTCTAGATAACGCCCTACGCCGCAGTTGCTGTAACTGGAGARGCTTACGCAAGTGTTKGGGTTCTTCGTGGTGGAGTGTACGTCGATGGCAATATCATTCGAGGCAGTTTAACAGCAAAACTGTCGTATAATGAAGAAAGRYCTCCCGGTAACAAATGGCTTTTATCTTTGAATTTCCACATGACTGTCTGTGAAATAGAAGCAGGATTGTTCTACCAATGGAAGAAGTGTAAGGTGCGCTGGAGTGGGTGGTGGCCAAGAACAAAGTGCGACTGGGGTAGAAGGCGTACCATCTTACGTTTTGGAAGATGGTCTGCTTACAGGAGGGAGGACAGGGTTCATCATTATTTAGGCTAACCGCCCATTTGCAAGGACCGCGGAGAAAAGTAACAAAGTGATGGGTTTTGTAAGTGGGGGCTGTTTGAGTTGAGAGAACAAAAGAGAAAATGAGAAAAAAAAGGGAAAAGTGCGAGGCTGGAGCCCTGCCTCTTTGATATATTTTATAGTATTGTTGCTAATTTTTTTGACATGCATTTGTGTTATGATAATACTTTAATAAAACCCATAATTCTTCGCACCATAAAATTTCAAAACRTTTTTATCAAAAGACTTATTTTTAGATATTGTTGAGTTATTTATATAATTAAATCTAGCGCTTATATTGTAACCAAAGAAATGTACTTTTATMTTGGAATAATAAAAGACCTCTTATTATATAATTATTATTTTATAATGTTATACCAACTTATGGTACAAATCCCTATAATTTAGAACACGATGAKTTTTGTAAAATATGAAATACGTYTATTGCACAACCCCACGATTCCATCACGCCAAAKTGYCCATGYCCATAATTGTGAATTAAGAAAGGGTAACGTGTGTCGCGTTCCACGCGTGGGCCTCCTCGACGCATGGGTCGTATACCAACTGTTACACGAAGGTCGTCTTGATTTATGTTTTTAAGMGGTGGATAGATGGTTTGACATTCYTGAAGCATTCTYTGYACTGMAGGRTGTGAAAGACCGATGTTCTTGTCGTATGATTCTAACTGCATCGTACCAAGCCATAGACTGTGATCACCTAAATCAAGGAACTAAATAGGTTATGATAAATACCTTGAAGAAGAAACAGTTAATTTAGAGAATGAAATACTAGCAGAAACGAACGTCATAAGGTAAAAAATAAAATGCGAAAAATGGTATTGTCACATCCTCGAAGCTAAGACCGAATTGGATTTTGGATAYACGGGAATTTGAATTATATCTGCATTTTCACAAAGGAGAAATTCATCAATACCTCTTGGTACGATGGCGACCTCTCCAGCTTTAGCACCATCTTGATACCAGATTTTGCCACGTATAGCGCAGTTTTCAGGGACAGGAAACATCCTRTCGCCATTACGCAAGGTTAGGCCCACGCCTATATGGAAATGAATTGATGATATTTACAAAAAACGCAACATACTTTTTATAAAGGCGATGCACTTGAGGATTTTTAGCGAGGATTCTTTGCGATATCCGTAAATGCCAAATTCTCAGATTGTGAGTTTTGATCCAGTATCGAAAACTTGCAATGCTAAATGACGACTTTAGTCGTCAATTGTTTGCGTAGCAGATACAAACTACAGTTGTCGTGGTGGCACATAACTAACCAACCCCCTTTTTGCTACCCACCCACCTAAACAACCAATCAAACAACACCAAATGATCTCTTCATACCTAAACGGGGATAAACATTGTGATCTTGAACTAGATTTCTTGCTGATAGCCCTGTACAGTTGACAATACAGTCCGCTCGTTGTGTTCTTCGTAGAGAATCACAGTTTTCTAATAAGAAATCGACGGTTCCTTGGATGAAGTCAATTCCTTTTGATATGCACTGCAATAAAGATACAATTTTTACATTTTGATACGGTTTTGTTTAGCCATTGCGAATATGTTCATCATTTTCAAAGCTGAATGTTTCTATAGTGGAGTCCGAACATAGTAAGCTCTGGAAAATATTACAAAAGAGCGCCGGCAAAAATAGCTAATGTGGAGATCGCCATTTTCCTTTTCTTGCAAAAATCTACAGCTTTTAAACACGACCTCAAAAGCATGCAACATTTGTAAAACTATGAAATTTTATACATTATCGCTACGGAATTCTTTGTTTATTATCAAATGCATGAAGTCTTCCATTGATAATATGTATTTTGAAAGCACTTTCACCTGTTGAGTCAACCAGTACATAAACATGTCTGTTTCAATCACCGGCAAGTGTATCGACATGGCGTCCTGAAGTCCAGATTCCAAGGACAGACCTAGAAATTGTATTACATAAGGACAAATGAGATAACGTTGGATTGCCTAACACCACTGTCAAACATTGTGCGGAGACGATGCAACATTTTGTCAGAGGTATATACCATATTACATGACATTGTTAGAGTGATCTCGATAAGATAATGCTTTTGGGTAGAGTATCAAATATGGACGGTGTTTGAAGTCCATTTAACATCTCAAACAAAGTCAATCCCATATTTCTTTTAATATGTCAATCTGCTGCTTGATACCAAGGCACGACGAGATTTCAAGATGGCGCAGGGAAACATGAAAAGTGGACTATTACTCTTACCTTTTTCCCTCAAGAGGTTTTTATCATGACGAAGAGGATTTCCAGGCAAGTACTTTTGAAAATTGCTTTTCGTTTCTTTAGTGTGCGGATCCATGTCAATCTACAATAAATGAAACGTGTCTGATTCAATTCTTCAGCATGTGTCAAGTGCTGTTAAACGTGCTGCTACACTTGTACAACATTGATATCAGCAAAGGTCCGTCCGTCTGTACTGTAGGCAATGTGCATTTTTGTGCATTTTTGTGCTTCAAAGCCGTTTTTACATTTTCTTTCAAAAACGGCACAAATCCTCTATTTGTGCTTAGAAAAAGCAAAAACATTTCAGTTAAAAAGTACGAGGACTACAACTACCATCATCCTTTGCTGCACAAAATGGCGTCACTGCGCATTGCCTATTGAGTCGGTGATACTGGTACTTACCAGATGTGGATAGACGAATAGTAGTTCCCTTATAAACACTCCTGTTTTCTGTGGATTCTCAGCTAGTTTGACGAACTTTTTATAGCTATATAAACACCAATTCTAAAGTGGAGTTAAAGAAAGAGCGCTCGTATTCATGTTTTACTCACGAGGCGCGCACAATAGAGGCTAATCTATGGCAGTTTGAATCTTTTTGGCCACCCGCCTCAAGCATGCATTTTTCCCATAAGAGAAAGCTACTTCGAGTCGCCTAAGTCATCATTGATTGTTGTAATTGTCCATTTTCCTCTTGAGTCGTCTTGTGATCCTAATAAAATCTCTTACACACTACATTTTTAGCTTGAGGTTTTTTCTACAGAACCCTAGTCTGTCAAAACTAATGTATCAGCCGGTGCCTTTAGTGGTGGATCATGGGTATTTTTTATATGTGACGTAATTCTCTGATGCCTATCCCCTAGCAAAAAGCCGTCATGACCAACCCTAAAAATAAATAACCTCAAAAACATTCAAAAATACGGCCAAGAACGCGACGGTGGTGACTCAAGTGGCTTCAGTTGACGTAAAATCGGGATGTTTGACTTAATTTACATATTTACAATACCTTTTTCTTTTCTTCGCAGCCAGGAGACGTGTTTATGCCCCAGAATGCTGCTGCTACTTGCGACGTTAGTTTTGATTTATCATCACATGCGACGAATTCTCGTGCTAAAATTCTTACTCTGTACCTGAGAGA